TACTGAAATAAATGAACTTTTCCATGACATTATAATTTATTGAGATGCACCCGTATATATATATATATATATGTATGTATACATACGTGCATACATACATACATACATGCATACACACATATATATATACATACCTACCTCCTTTTTTGTGAAATACATTGTTTGGAATATATTGTCCTGCCAATAGTTTATGCTGAATTATTTAACTTTTATTAAAAAAAAAAAAAATTATATATATATACTTTTTCATCATGATTTTTGTTGGGAAATGTGACCTGGAAATGTATTCCCTTATTTGTTGTGTCTAAAGTGTCCAAATACTTTATCATGCCACTGCACATCACTACTTATCCTCGTTATTCAATTTCTAACTTATTTTTTTGTCGCAGCGTTTACAAATCGTGGCAATACCTTCAGCCTTCCTCTGATCTGCACACCAACAAATGGTCTTATACATACGTGCATACATACATACATACATGCATACACACATATATATATACATACCTACCTCCTTTTTTGTGAAATACATTGTTTGGAATATATTGTCCCGCCAATAGTTTATGCTTTATAAAAAAAAAAGAAAATTATATATATATACTTTTTCATCATGATTTATGTTGTGAAATGTGACCTGGAAATGTATTCCCTTATTTGTTGTGTCTAAAGTGTCCAAATACTTTATCATGCCACTGCACATCACTACTTATCCTCGTTATTCAATTTCTAACTTATTTTTTTGTCGCAGCGTTTACAAATCGTGGCAATACCTTCAGCCTTCCTCTGATCTGCACACCAACAAATGGTCTCCATAAGTGACAAAGCGGTGGCCACTGCTAATGAATCATTTGCGGACCATGCCTTGTTGGCCACCTTGCCCTTCGTGGAAGTGGCAGGCAGTGAAAGCAGCGAGAGGGGCAGCTCCATCTCATGCTCCAGTCCCGAACCTGGAGATTATGGAGCTCAACTCAGCTACAGCCCTGGGGAGGAAGACGAGGACGATGGGCCGCTGCAGATCTTTTTCGACTCCACGGAGGAGATGTTGACTCAGCCGCCCAAGCTGCCTGATTTTATACCCGAGCTCTCCAGCACCTTCTCACCAACCCTGGAGGATATTGAGGAGTTCTTGATGGAGAAGATGGAGCTTTTGAGTGATGCTCCTCCCAGTCCAGAGGAAAAGTCAAAGGAGGTTGAGCCTCCCATACAGCTGTCTTCCCCCGTTGACGTAGAGCCGAAATCCAGCCCGACGACAACGCCTCCTGCCGCTAAGAGTGTTAACACCACAGCTAGTGCTGCGCCGGTGCTCATTGGTGCTCCATTTGTGCTTCAATTTCAACCTCTCCAGCTAAGCCACGCCCTCCCACAGCCAGACACCCAATCGGGTGTGGCCAACGGGCTTCGGGTGGCCCACCTGGTGCTCGGTGTCCAA